TTCATCTTATATTGTAACTCTTCTGTGTTGTAGAGAAATAACTTCTCTTCTTTGTTTTACTGCAAAATGCGCGCTTCAACATTTCTGTTTAACCGACAGTAAACATACACTTAAGATCATAGCTCGATTGGCTGGCTAAGCCGGAACCGAGGTCAAATTCTCTGGGAAACCTTAGAAAGTGCTAGTAAACTACCACACCTCAGCGCCATCAGTCTTTAGAGGCTAGTCTCTTTTTTTAAACATTTTACTCCCGAGGATAGACATATTATGATCGTAAATTCAGTAACTGTGCTTGTCATGGAGGCACCTTGTTTTAACTGTTGGAGTATCAAAACTATCGATGTCCACAGAGAAATGACTAATACGGGTTTACTGTTCAATAAACCTAGTGCCATGGGTTCTTTCAAGTTATTACCCACAAAATCATTGTTTGTAGTTTTCCCCCGATAAGAACATTACAAGCAGAGTTTATAAGCATATCACAGTTATATCTTCCCCGGATGACTTTTATGTAAATAAATATTGAATGTTATTGTCCCCATATGCCTCTAATGTGTGAGTATCAACCGACCTTCGGATTCTTCTATGCTGTATACGGGATATCTACAAAATAATCTTGTTCGATCCTGTTTTTAAAGTACTGAATACGGTGTGCCAACATGTTCCTGAATAGAAAACTGTTTTAAAGGTCTTCAGGTTTGTTTAGGACAAGAAATACTGATTTGATGTCGAAGATTTTGATCAAGGGGAGAAGGATAGTTTTTGGTATGGGAGGATTTGACCTAGATAAAAAGTATTGGTTTGGTATGGAAGGATTTGACCTAGTGAAGAAATATTGGTTTGGTGTGAGAGGATTTGACCCAGTTAAGAAAAACTAGTATTGTTGTTGGTTAGATCGATGAAGGTGATAAATATTGGTTTGGTGTCGGAGGATTTGACCTGGTAATGCTTAGTGTCGAGGTTTGAGGTATATACCACTCCGAATTCAATTACGCGGACATACACTATAAAATAGACAACTAACATGAATCTAAAGCAATGTCCTACAACCATTTCAGATTCAAGTTAATGCATATTGCTAGTTGGATCAAATGTCGATACTTTCGAGAATTTTTTCTATCTTCGATGGAACCACTTACTACATTAACATGAATTTATCTATAAAATTTTAGGTGGCAGAAACTGACTTTTAGTCCACTAGGTCTGCCGTAACCTGCATGCCACGTTGGAATTTATTCAAATGTTGGCACAGTTCAGAATATAAACACGTATTTGACATTTTAAAAAATGGTTGAACATATAAAAACAATGACATTTTTTAAATTTTGGAGCTGGTGCGATTCCTCATCTTAATTTTCATATTTTTCGATCACTTTGGATTTTCCTCAGTCGCCTCCTAGGTTTCAAAAAATAGGATCACTGATGAGTCCTAGAAGGACAAAACAGCTGTACTATACAGTTTGATTCATTATTTGGTTCTACCTATCTAATTATAAATTATGTTTAAGGGTGCAAAACATTTTTTTCTATTGTTAGATGCATATTTTAATGGAATTGAGTGATTTAGCATAGGCAGGAGATAATTTATGTTTACTTTGATGCTTTACGACAATAAAAGATGAATATTTTTACATTATTTATCAGCTGGTATTTTACTACGCAACATAACCAATGAATGCTCCACAAAAGAAACGGTAAACATTTGTTTCGCTAGAACAGTAAACCTTGTATCATGGATACAAATTATGAATTCTCTCAACGTAAACATGAAGTGTAATAATATTGACGATAAAAAAGTAAATCTGGCAGAAGGAAAATGCTTTCTGTGGACAATGTATTACATGCACGCACACAAGATGTTTCCAATCCTGTTATCAAATACGTGTTGCATTTGGAAATCGATTTTTATTCTGTTTTAATATTATTTGAAGTTTGCTCTTGTATGGCTTATTGACAAATCGGAGCTGATTTGGACATTACGAAAGCTAGAAAACAGATACTGACATTTAAATTGTGAGAAAACGATGATTTATTCGCCATATTACACCGTTTAGACAAAGTACATCTTTAAGGTTGTGATTCTAACTGTGTATCCCAAAGTCCATATTCCAAACTGCAATATTTTTATTCGTATCTAAATCTGAACTAATAGTATTTATTAATATATCTAAACAACCGATTTCTTCTGTCTCAGACAGATAACAGAATTGCAAGGAATTATATTAAAAGGTTGCTAACAAAATATCAAGCACTGGTGAAAAATGTCATAGAAATTTAGAAACAAAGTTTATTTTAGTTACATATGGTCAACCTTCTCCTCCAGATGATGCCATCAGTACATAGATTATAATCAACGTTTGATGAAGAAAAAATTATGGGTTATTATTTCTAATGATGGGTTTACTTGACTTTTTACATTTGTCAAAAACAAAAAAAACAAAAAAACAAAAAACAAAAAAAAAAAAAAAAAAAAACTGATAGGTATTATTTATGTATAATTTTATGTCATGAACCAGTTTCAATATCTAAAATGAACGTTTCGATGGCTACACTTTATTATCTCCGTACGAAAATATCAGCAAAGCGTGCGCATCTTAATTGTTCATATTTTTGTTTGTTACCAGGGAATATTGTTTATTATGCTTCCATTTCTGTGCTGATGAATTTTACCTTAATGAAAGACACAATGATAAGCAGCTCTTGTCCTTGATGTTGCCTTCCCTTGTGTATTGGTGTATAATGTTATTGCTTTCCTCTAGCTCGATATTTCCGTTTTAACGTCTTCGACAAATTACATGTGAAACAGATTTATGATTCCAGAACGCCCATCTCTGCAACATTAACATTTCATCCTTGAGGATATTGTACCCATAGGAATGTTAACGGTGTATAAACAATAATCCAAATCTGTATTACGGCTCAGTTAACTTAATGTACGATCATGATAAACATATGTGCCATCAGTCATTCATAAAGGCTTAAACGCTAATTTTAAGTTAGAAATAATCCCATCAGTTGTAAAATGCCACAAAATCGATGTTTAAATCCGGAAAGATAAGGTGTGCCAACAAATTCAGATCAATTTTAAGTTTAAAAAGACTAATGAGATAGATATTTAAAAAAAATGATTACACCACGAATGTTCTGCTCAGACAACAGGAACAAGAAACTTGTTATCTGATTAATTTGCTGCTTGCTGTAATGTTATCTTAACTACACTCTCACGTTATATAAGTGGATTGAACATTATGTTCAGAGGGTGTCGTCGATGAAACAGAAGACTCTTCTGCTAGCTCTTTTATTGGGGGTGTTCTTGTCAATATATCTTTTGTTCCTAGTTTTAAAACCATTTCAACGATTTAGGGGTGGAATTCAGATTTATTGTTTTTTTTCTATATTTCTTCTTTCTGATTTTATTCTATTTTTTCGGTTTTATTCCTCTCCCCCCCCCCCCCCCCCCCCCCGCCCCCACCCCCCTTTCTTATGCCGACGAACCACCAAAACGTGTCCATCGGGAAAGTCTTTCGATTTACTGGCTTTGATTGACTGTTAGGGCTTCGTTAAGATTCGAAACCATACGACATGTCATATCAAACCTGATGTCGTGCTGACGTAGCTATAGTCCTCTGTACTGAATCATTATTACCCAAGACGTGTCCCGTTAGAAGATACAGAAAACAGACTTATCAATTACGACCTCTCACGACTACCACTAAGGGTGCGTGATACCACATAAAACTTGTAAACCTATATTAAAGGAACGGGGCACGTTCTCTACGTATTCTGTATACTCACATCAATACAGGGTCGTTGTCAACTCATTGGCGTGAATTAGGCATCTCGGGCGTTACGCCAAATATCCGTTCAGGTGTACTTTCGCGATGCCTGTTTTGTGACTTGTAAGAACAATAAATTAGTCTGCTTCCCCAGCCTTCATGGTTACTTTTATTTCAAAATGGCCCTGTTTAGCCTGACCGATTTCACATTGTCACGATCATGGAAGGAACCAAGTTCCAAGAGACGTCAATACTGGCTATTGAACTTTTCAGTACGGTCTTTTTGTAGACATTAAAGATTCAATGGAAATCACAAAAAAGCGCTTCCATCTTTTCTGTTCTAAAGGGATAATTGTATCTTAAGCTACCGGACTGTTTACAACCCTTATTGTCGATGAACCACTTTGATTCATCTTTAACGTTCCACGTTATGAGACATGCATTTTCCGTGAAACCAGATGTTGTTAATGTGTCCTTATTTTGAAAATTTGTGAAATGAAACAAAATCTCAAACAGATTTTTTCCCCTTTTTGTTCTCTTGTTGGCCGTTAGTTCTTAAGAAATTACACAAGAACAACCATTTTTGAAATGTAATGATATCTGCTTCTTGTTATCGTAGTAGATTTCAACATCGTTTAAACGACATGTCTTATATTGAACATCATATTACAGTAACAGCAATCGAAAACATACACGCAAACAGGAGTTTGATTCAAACCAGAAGTCGATTTAACAAGAAGGCATAACATTAGCAAAAGTAAAATCTACACCGAGACTCTTGAAAAATCCAAGGAGATAGAGAACTGTCCCGGCGATAATAAAACATCTGTGTCTTGACCCTATCCGTGATAAGTTAAGTGAAAGCTCAAGGACAGTATCAGACTTACAATCGTTTCGTGTTCTTCAGTCCAGCTGGTGTTCCGAAAATCTTTTTTTGGAGACTTTAGAAAATATAGTAAAAAAGAGACATGATGGTGGTATACAGAAGTGACACGTTATTTTGAATTAATTTGCTTTATAAGATGCTATTGCTTTTCTATTTCATTGATCGTAGATTATACTTTCATATTAAGGGATACGCGAGGATTTACCTAACTTTGTTACGGAGCACGTGCCTTGTATCATTTTGACGTTACTTTAGTATAAAACATGCGTGATACATTTTTAGACATTACTTTGTTACGGAGCATGTGCATTGTATCATGATGTTTTTCTTTCTTACAGGGTACGTGAAAAACGTGCACAGACCGGATGACAACATCATCCTCGTTCACGCCGTTGAGCTCAACGAGATCCTCCACAACCAACAATGGTACTCGTGTAAGTATGGAAGGTTCAGCGTTATGACTTTGTTGATCCTTGCTCAGGATAACGTATGGATGACAAAGCCGTATCATCTCTTGATGAATATATGTACAAATCAAAATTGGTGTCGGATCTAAAATTTTCTGGCTGTTATCAGTTAATTCTTAATCAATAATATTTTTTATTCCAGCAGTGTGAAGAATATTCTATTATATTATAATATGCGTCTTGTAGGGTATTGTAGTTTTGCAATGCACTGGGCAAAATGCTCAAGTCATTTCTCTTGGCAACAATGCATCAGACTCAATATATTCGTTTGGCAACTCCTCGAAAAAAATGTGTAATTCCGAGTTTAAATGTATACATCAAAGAAGGGTATAATTTTTTTTCAGAATATTGATCAAACAGCCTTATCTGTTCTATCCAGAATGTGTAACATTTAATGATTAAGTCTGTAATGTTTCCATAATTTTTTTAGAAGATGAATGTTGTCTCTCTATAACAGCTCCCTATACGTTTGACAAAGATGTCCTTTTTACTCTGCTGGAAGACGAGAAACGTAAGATCACACACAAATTAGAAGCATTCGCCGTCCTTCTCAAGGAACGACAGGTAATTCTAAATATAGCGACTCCTTGACTAGCAGGGTAATCCAGATATTGCTGATAATTGATCGACAGGTAATTCTAAATATAGCATCTCCTTGACTAGCAGGTTTTTCCAGATGAAGCGTCTCATTGATCTCCTTGATCAAAAGGCATTTCCAAAAATTCCATATTGTGTCGAAGCTCTTTATTTTAAACAGGAATCCCCAAACACATTCTCTTTGCGGAGAAATGACACGAAGATTTTTCATGTTATATTTATTCCATGCCCTTATAAGGAAACATTTTTCTGCTACAAAGAACAAACCAAATAAAACAGTCTTAGCAATCAAGGACATCGCCATATGGTTTTCTGCACAACCCGTTTGTCTCGGTATTGCCCTATGTAGGTGCTCTACCAACGAGCTAAATGCTGTACAATATTGTACGTTTTTGGTTTTCTATCGTATTCCTTCCCTTTCTTCATAATAACTCTCCTACCTCTTCCACTTACCGCAAAATTTATCGCAGTTCATTCTTTATCGAACGGCTTATTGTCACTATCACGATATCACCTACAACTGCAGATGTTTTACAGCATTAGCCTCTGGTGTAGTCCTTCGCTCGATGTCGTAGAAAGCAATTCACGGTTCATTACTTAATTAGCCGTTTTAATTAGATATCCAATGGAGGAAATACATTTCAAAAATTTATTCCGTACAGTTCTATAAAAATAATAAAGATCATTATTAGCCTCGTGCAATAATTAAAATTGTGATCCAGACCCGTACTTCATTTGTGTTACGATAATAAAAATCATTGCAGAAATCCAATTTTTTTATTAGATATCTTTCCATTTTGAGAAATTTCAGAGATATTCGTATATATGTACAAACATAGGCTGGGTGAAACTAAACCCGTATTTAACTACCCGTATGTTAGATGTAATTAGACGATGTTTACATTGTTACAGTTGGCAGGGTCGGTGAAGAGCGCTCACGCCAGTAGCCCGGGGGAGGGGATTATAAAGGCTGCCGTGGAGAATAACGCAACCCTTATAGTGACAGGGACCAGGGGGATGGGCTCCATTCGGCGGACCTTCCTAGGCAGCGTCAGTGACTACATACTCCACCACAGTCCAGTACCAGTAATTGTCTGTCACAAGCCTTAACCTGGCTTCCTGTCAGGAGATCGGAACACTTCTTCTTTTCCGAGTCGGTGTGTCCCGAATGTATATAGACTAAAAATCGCAACATCTCGGGGAGATTTCCGGCAATCTTACAAAAAATCATTTTTACCGCATTACCGATTCTCCGAGACGTTGCGATTTATATTACTCCTCACTGTATATGGACAAATTTGTATTATTCAGTTCCGAAGCTTTGATTCCGAGCTTCTGTTAGGCACCAAGCGCAAACTGTTGCCTGCAGTATCAAGTGATGGCAGTCAATTTCCTCAGGTGATAATCGTTTTTATGTATGTGCAGTGTGTTAAAAAATGTACATGCTGTAATCGGGCCCTGTGTTGTGCGATTTAATCTACTAGAACACTTAATGTAATTTCATGATCATTTCGTGCATTTTGTCTCCCGGTAATGTTAAATAGTATTGCTTTACTCCGTAAAGTCATAACAGTCTATGCTTGATTTAAAAAATAGACGTTACTTTATAAATGTTTCATTAAATCTCTGATAATAATTAAAAACGCTTTTCTGTTGTTCCGTCATAGAAAATACAATTCAGATATTAGTGTTAAAAATGTCCGAAATTTCTTCTTGAATGGAGTACGGATGCTCTCCCAAAACGCATTAAAATAGGCTGCTGTTTTTTTCTTTTTATAAAGACTACAACAGCGATTTTATACAGCCAATCAGATACTTCTGCTACTGGCTATCATAATCAGGTATTGGAAGTGAACTATAGTCACGATAGAGTTATCGTCCCTTGAGTGATAAGAAAATCCACTGGCTTCTTATGTGTGTGCCAGTGTGATTGGATGTATGTCGTGTACTTGTAAATAAAATGATTTCATTATTGTCTATTGTCTTTTATCATCATTGACGTATACAATAATAGCCTGTTTATCAGATGTTACAATCACACCTGTATACTGTAACCAATGAAATCGCAGTAATATTTATCTAAGTAACCGATGAATCAGAGTAACAACAACAATATAAATACCTGCACCATCAACGACAAGGATGGCGACAACAGCAATTACACATACAGAAAAACAACAGCAAAAACAAAACAGCCGAAGGTTGAAACATCACAACACCAAAAAAACAACAGTAGTAGTTAGATCGGCGCGATCAGGAACTCTTTAGAAATTAAGGCGACAGACAACTATGTGAAAATCAAGCTATGAGGCAAATATCAAACAACTATTTGTTTCTGTTTTACGATCTAAAAACTACCATCTCTTCTCCATATCTGTCCGATTCTGGTAGAAAATGTTTCTATAGATAGTGATTGACAGTTCCTGGCTTATTACGCATAACGATTGTGTGACGAATATTCAAATGTTTCTTTTTTCGCTTTGGAATTTAACGTTCTAAATTCACTAGCTTTCTAAATAGATTTACACTATCTTTATTAGAAAATTTTCCAAGTTCTAAGATCTTTCAGACATGTTTGTTACAGCTATGTTATTTACTTCTGAGCTATATTTTCTAAATTCAAAGAAGGGAGTTAACTCGTCCGCAATTGCGATATCAGCTATCATGTATTGCCGCATCTGTATCATGATTAATCACGTATTTTTTTTAATTTAATTAATCAAGAAAGTCATCAGTGCGCATGATTGATTTAAATATTTGCATTCATTTAATCTTTCATTAACCCGAGGAAGCACAACTACAAAATAATGACTGGCTTTCATGTATGTTGTTTTGCAGCCCTGTTTAGTTTAAAGGTGTTGTTGACTTTTTGTCAATGTGAAATATTACGATAATCGAAAAAAAGTGTTTTTACAACTTCGGCATAGTATCTGTTATTATTTCTGTTTTCATCAAAAGTTGCCTTAACATGGCTGAAACATAGCTTGTGATCATCTCAGTATCGTATCGACCAAATCCTGCCTTAACCTGATGTTAATTGATTGCATGCTTATTCGTCCACATTTTATTATTTTATCGACGACATTCTAATTTATTCGAAAGAATTCCTTGCTTCCCCTAGTGCTGTCCAAACAATAAAGTTTGAATTTTAGTTTAGTCATAGGTGCTACAGTAACCATCTATGGATGTTATTCAAAATCTAATTTTAGTTTTCTCCAAAGATGGTGAGATAATTCGATTCGCAAAGAGGTACAAGAGATTAAAAATTATATTAGACAACGACAATAACATGATAAAAACTCTAGTATAAAGGACAACAATGATAACACCACCAGCAGATGTAATACATGTTTTCCAGGTTGATATCACATACAGTTCCAATCACCAGTATTACAGAATATATAAGTTATCACGAGTACGAGTGCAACAGTCTGGATCAAGTGAGACATGTTTCAAGAGGGAAACCATGAGTGGAAGAACAAAGCAGAGATTGCAAATGCAGTTAGGAATTGAAGTACAAGATACAGACCGTTAGAGTTATAATGGGGAAGCAGATTCATTTTGGTCTCTTCAGTGTCCTTTTTGATAGAAGACAAGTAAAACGCTCGTAGCAAACCAGATTCTATGAATCTACGCTGTTACAAAAGAGACCAGAGAAACCAGCCCCCGACAGGAGGTGCCTAGAAATTAGTCAACTCTTACGACAGGCAGTGAGAAACAGCAGGGACACTCTTCCGAAACTACTTAATGCATCATCATACGAGTAACGGTATTCAAACGACAAGCGCTATGTTCTCTTTTCCTTACATCTAAGAATGCAGAATTTAGCAACAGGTCGATCCAAACATTAAAAAATCTGTTTCTGAGAAAAATGATTTATGTTACGTTTGACAACAAGACAGCCATTTTGTATTGTTCACTTTACCCCATAACCTACAGTTTGATGTTGTTGTCCGTTATTAATAGCTGACAAACTGTATCAAAATGAAAGAAAACTACAGTGTACACAGAAAAAAAATGGTGAAAACCCCCAATTAATTCATACTGCGCTTCATTTGCAAGCAAACGGAAAAAATCGATTTTCTGATTTGTCGAAACTCATAAGGTTATACAATCCCTGGAATATTTACATGACAATAAGTTAACCAACAACATCAGCAACAATGAGAACAGACAGAACAAGAGCAGAAACAAAGACAACTGCAGAAACAAACACGACAGCCGTTATTGTATTGCATCAAGATTTACATGACAGGTATATTAATTCTGCCTGCAGATAGGGCGTTCAATAACTTGATCCTTGACTGTAAACATTAGTACATTTTCCTTATACAAAAAAAGAACTAGACTTGCTCGATAACGAAAGAAATATTCACCTACACATTATGCAATCTTTTAAAAGAAGAACTACTTGCTGATCATGCTTCTAATTTACAATCATTTCTTTTATCTATTCATAATAAGGATACGGACCTCCCGCGTTCATATCGGATTATAACTAAACAACACTCTGTATTAACACTGTCTTATTGTTAGCTCATCTAGCTCTTCAACCAAACCTTTGTTAAAACTGCTTACCAACATTCTTGATACTATCAAGTTTCCCCCTTGTACTTCACCATACACTATTCTAAACGGAATGAAAGATTCCCTTCTTTCTCTTGTTATGAGAGTTTTCTTTTCCATTGAAAGTGAACGGCGATACAAATATGTGGTTGGGGATCATACTGAAGAGTATTTCGTGAAAAATGTGTCCAAATCAAAGAAGAAAAAAATCAAAATGATCAAGTTTCTGGTTGACAACATATTCGTGGAATTTGGTGATAAAATCTTCCAAAAGATAATTGGCATACCTATGAGAACAAACCCGCTGTCGGCCGCATTGGTTTTGGTTTTATGCAAGGCTGAACTTATCGAAAAACTTACCAAAACAGGTCAAAAAGACCTCGCAAAGTCGCTTAATATCACTTTCAGATACTGTATATTGATGACACAAAATTTATTGACCATGTCCATTGTATATACCCCTCAGAATTGGAAATCAAATGCACGACAGACTCTTCTACATCAGCCGCATACCTCGATCTTTTCACACAACGAAACCAACATGGACAGCTTTCCACCAAGCTGTATGATAATCGTGTTGACCTCAATTTTCCTATTGTGAATTTTTCATTTCTTGATAGCAACACCCCTACATTCACCACTTATGGTGTTTACGTGTCATAATTAATTCAATAATCGGGCTTGTTCCAATTACCCCGATTTTTGTGCAATAAATCGTCATCTGGGGAACAAACTCGTTCCACATTTTTTTTATTCAAAAGATGCAGATTGATGAAAATAATTTTGTATACCTTGTTCTCATTTGAGGACGTGACATTACTTACTTTGATCGACCAAAATTTACATAGCGGATGTCGCCGATGAAGCAGAAGATACTTAATCCCCCGGAACAACTAATCTTATTCCCCTTGAGTTTTTTCACGAGTCTCCGTATAAATAATCCCTTTGATAATATTTTGCTCTATTTTTATTTAATTTAAGTTTGGGTTATGATTTTGTTGATATGTTTTTTGTTTTATTTATTTATTTGCGCTGCTGATTTTAAGTGAAGGAAACGAAAAAAGGTGTTCTAATAGACATATATATGTCTTTTGGAGAAATAATATACCATGTTAATCTTTAATTGTTTCATCGCACCGTGTTTATTATTTTTTTCTCAGAAAAAATATACATCTTGAATGGTATTGTCTTCAGTCAAATTCGATCACAATATTAACATTACGCTACTTATGCAACGTGTTATAATGAACTACTACACCACTTAAATATTTTGAACTTCCGGAACATATACGTTAAATCTCCCCACTTATACTGTAAAATGTGACATCCTGTATATATCCGGTATGTAGGACTACTACACTGTACAGCAAGCTTAAAACCCAAATGTAGATACTTTTTCTGACAAACAGAAAGATAGATTGTGTTTATAGTAAGAATAACCGCCATGTTAAAGTTCAGGGCAGACGCTGGCAGTAATGATGGTAGTTCACCAGAACAAAGATGGCGGAAGGTAGTAATAGCAATGGATGGAAGTGAACACGCCAAGTACGCCTTAAAATGTAAGTTTATCCGACGCTTGTAGTCAAAATTAATTTCTTGCCAAGATGACAGGTGAAATGCTCTCACACCTGTATGCTCTCATGAGAGTATGAGTTCGATTTCCGACGCAGAACACCATTTGTAGTATATTTGTATTTAGCTTTAAACGATCAAGAAACGAACAATGTTCCCTATGAGTAGACGATTTTTTTTTGTTTTAGGGTTTTGTGTGTGTGTGTGTGTGTTTTTTTTTTTTTGTTGAGTGTGGGGGGGGGGGGGGGGGTTGCTTTTTAAAGTAGAGGAATGTGTTCCATTATATACATACACATGATAATATACAACACACCAAATTCCGTAGGTCAATATTACACTAATAGTAATCAAAGGCCAATTGATATTAAATTGCTGGTGGCTGTTTCAATTAACATCATATGGGAGGCCTTATTATGTCATTCAGAGCAATTTGGGTCATGTTCAACAACACAATCAGGGGAAAGAAACACACGAAAAACACAAATCTCACCTAGTTAGGATATAAATCCTACGTCTTCGAATGAGCTAACAAAATCTTATGCTCTGTCGACTGACGTATCATGGGCCATAATACAATATGTTCTTTCATGAACAGAATGGTCTGTGTCAGCTATAATACAACATGTTCTTTCATGAACAGAATGGTCTGTGTCAGCATGTTTGTTGTTGTCAGCTATAATGCATGTTCTTCCATGAACAGAATGGTCTGTGTCAGCTATAATACAACATGTTCTTCCATGAACAGAATGGTCTGTGTCAGCTATAGTACAACATGTTCTTCCATGAACAGAATGGTCTGTGTCAGCTATAGTACAACATGTTCTTCCATGAACAGAATGGTCTGTGTCAGCTATAATACAACATGTTCTTCCATGAACAGTATGTTCGGTGTCAGCTATAATACAACATGTTCTTTCATGAACAGAATGGTCTGTGTCAGCTATAATACAACATGTTCTTCCATGAACAGAATGGTCTGTGTCAGCTATAATACAACATGTTCTTCCATGAACAGAATGGTCTGTGTCAGCTATAATACAACATGTTCTTCCATGAACAGAATGTACGATGTCAGCTATAAACACCAAACAGAGATTGGCTACATCATAAGTACTTAAGCTAAACTGCTGCTTTAAAATGTATGAAACAAAAAACAAAACACCAAAAAAAAAAAAAAAAAAAAAAAAAAAAAAAAAAAAATAAAAAAAAACCCAAAAAAACAGAAAAAAGGTTGAGATGTAGTAATCGCACATATATATAAATCAAAACAAAGTAGTATCCTATCCATTCACGTCTCTGTGTACTGTAATACGATAGATCTTAAAAGGCTACTTACACGTGCTGCCACATTAACACGAAACAGAAGATTATTAGAATTACAATACGGTAGTGTTTGAACCTCCATATATACCAACCAATGCCATGTAGCCGCTCGTACATACATAAGTATGTGATTTTAGCTTTAAAACGTTTCAAACGATGTTAACATTAAACATGGAGATTGGAATTGTATTTACGAGTTTTAGAAAGTGTCCGTTTCCTTTATCTACCAATGGGTGCAATCGACTAAATCATAGTGCACCGCCATATTTAGATATTGTCATTTCTTTCGATCACTTCTTAAATTGCCTCCTAAATTTAGGCACTTAGCATCATTGGCGAGTCCTGGAAGGACGAAACAGCTGTTTGATGTTTTGATGAATTGTTTTGATTTATATACTGTATTGTATTCTAGACTTGTATTCATTCGGGTGTCTTTTGTACAATCTTCACGACAGCTCACTATTCTCCGATTGGACGAAAATGTTAAGTCAGCAATAAAATCCATTTCGTCCATTATTTGATGTTAAAATGGGACCATGAAGATAAGTCAGTTGATGCCCTCCTCCCCGTCTCTGTTCATCAGTTCACCACTCCTCCCTCTTGTCATAGTTAATTCTTTGACTTTTCTTAGCTTCAAGTTGCGTTCTCTGTCAAGTTCCCCCGATTCATTCCATTGCAAGGTTATAAATAACGGCATGATCTTTGATATGAAAATAAGTAATTCGTAGACGTACAATTGTAAGTTTAAATCATTTTGTCAAAAGGAGAAAAAGATGAGATGGTAGGATAGAAAGAGAAAAAGAGATTAAATAGATTTTATATCAATTCAGTGCCGACTACAAACAGTTCATAATCAGGTAGTGTTAAAACGCTTTGTTTTATAAACTTTTGAACACATTTAACAATATTACAATTAGTTTCATATGAGTAAACATCACTGTCGCCCCATAAGATAGTCTCTATATTAAAATCTACGTCTAAATTATACAAAGTATCAAACAATATGCGTCTATAATTAGAAAATAATGACCATATAAGGAAATAATGACTTACGTCTTCAATTCAATCACCACGCGAACAACTCAGGGATTGACAAATACCAACCCTATATAAATCTGAACGCAAGCCACTACAGTAATGTCTAATGCGGCCATGTATAACAGAGAGGTATCGATTATTAGAAATCATCAGGAACTGAAGAGTGTATGTTTTTTCTGTACACCTTTAACATAAATGTACCACACCACTTTGTCCTTAGGTTGCACGGACACTTTTTAATGTTGTTATGTGGTCGCATTTGTGTGCTGATGTGATGTTTTCGCAAAACTCTCCTAATTGCTTCCATCACCTCTTTGATGTTGGGTCTAGAAGATGATGTACTGGTCTGTTTTGTCCGGTATACAGGTATTTAATGGACCCATCAGACCTTCCTACAACCGGGCTGTCATGGAAGGGATAATTTTACCTGTGTCTGCTTCTGTTGTAAATTTTACAAGTCTGTCTACTTCATTTTTTGACCTCTTTCAAAACGACACTAACATACCTTCCCCATAGTTTGAACCAACTCTCAATCAGAGCAGTTGTGATGACTTTCTATTCCAAATGTTCAATAGATAGGTTTGCAACAACAGGTTATACAACACTGCTTATTACTGCACCATACTCATGTGGTAAATGGTATCGTTGAATGCAAAGTATGATGTGTTACCGATTCCTATAGTTTAATGTTGTTTACCGAAAGGATACTTCTATTTTAAGGGTTTCGTCTTGGTTATGTATCTCCCCAATGATCATCGCTTCGTTGACAAGTGAGTAGGTGAAAAGAGACAATACGTCATTGAAATAGAAAATGTCCTCCTCTTCCATAATGATGTCACCGGAGATATGAAGCATAAGATTTCTGAGTTTTCCGAATGATCCAAGATGTCTTCTCGATATGCCACGATAGGTCGTAGTGGATAGCCCTGCTTGTGGATTTTTGGGTTTCAGTATATACAAGGGGTGATTTGTTGTGTAAGGTGGACCTGTTTGTTCCTCATCGAGGGTGTCTTCACTGTATATCTTATTGATTAGGTCGACTAGTTGCCGTTTACATGATGGAGTAGGATGTTTGTTAAGTACCTCATGTTTTTGTCATTAAGCATGGTGGTCACCTTTCCTTCAAAGTCTAGTTTTATCCGTACGATCAGCTGCCTTAGCAGCTTAGCAGCCTTTCTTAGGTTCGCGAGACCTTTCCGTATTTCCTTCTCCATATTGTTCTTGGGTAAGTGTTCCTCTGCTGCTTTTGTTAACTTTGTAGGATGTTTTGGCACTAAGTGTGTTGATATGACAGCATAGTTGCAATGAGACTGGTGGTTATAAACTGGTCATATGTCATATCTAAAATGGTAAATCTTGTTCACGTGTCAGTTCCATAATGGTACATAATGGTATATCTTGATCACGTGTCAGTTCCATAATGGTATATCTTGATCACGTGTCAGTTCTATAATGGTATATATTGATCACGTGCCAGTTCCATAATGGTATATATTGATCACGTGTCAGTTCCATAATGGTATATCTTGATCACGTGTCAGTTCCATAATGGTATATCTTGATCACGTGTCAGTTCCATAATGGTATATCTTGATCACGTGTCAGTTCCATAATGGTATATCTTGATCACGTGTCAGTTCTGTAATGGTATATCTTGATCACGTGTCAGTTCCATAATGGTATATCTTGTTCACGTGTCAGTTCCATAATGGTATATCTTGATCACGTGTCAGTTCCATAATGGTATATATTGATCACGTGTCAGTTTCATAATGGTATATATTGATCACGTGTTAGTTCTGTAATGGTACATTGGAGTACCTTGGTCGCGTGACAGTAAGTACGTGCCATTTATACATTGTGTCAATTCTACACTGGGTATAATTATAAATACATACTGACCACATAATGTTTCTACACTGATACTTTGACCATGTGTTATCTTTTGTCGTTCCAACACAGGGTACGTGTCACATATATATCGACCAGACGACAGAATAATCTTGGTACATGCTATTGAATCCCGTCTTGCCAGGATCCTGACGGGTAAGTCAGCTTCCTTAGTCATATTTTACGTTTGTCGAGTGAGACATGATAAGTTAGGATTTTGTTTCATGTCATACTGGTCGCTCATTGACTAACCCTTTACTTCTGTATCTACACTTTGTTTTACTGAATTAGTTAAGCCCCCTGGGCCCTTCACCTACTGACGTCCTGGAATAGAATCACAAAGCTACCATTCAATATCCCTTACGTACAATATATATATATATTGTTAGGTTTATCAGGTCATCAGTAGTCCTTAAGACTGATCGACTCATTGCATACCTATCAGCGAAATCCGTACGGTAATTTTGCCTTCTTAATGGTTTAAATCTTGTGAGGCATCAAACGTGTGTGTATTATTTATGCCAATCATTACTTTTCATATTCGGATGAAGATGATGAGAAAGACGAAAGTTCAAAGACGGACGAAGAAGAAAGGAAACGACTGAAGGAAAAATTAGATTCATATCAACAACTCTTGGTTGATTTCAAGGTTTTCAAACACGACTATTTTCTTATCTCTGATTTTTCAAATATTAATTGACAATGATTTTAAACTTTTTTTTATAATTTTAAAATGACATTAATTATATCATAAAGAATTTATCAAAGTAGTAATGTCAAATCTTAACACCTGGAGAGCAATAACTCAAATAACTTAACTAGTAAAAGTAACAGAATGAAAACGGTACAAGAAAGATAACTCTTACCAAATTGAAGTGTTTTATCCTTTTTCATTACACCACAGTTGATGGGAGAGATCAAGACAGTTTCGGATAAGTCAGCTGGGAAAGCGATATTGAAAGCAGTAGAGGAGCTAAACGCTGATGTGCTGGTCACAGGGTCTAGGGGCCTTGGTTCGATTCGGCGGGTATTATTGGGAAGTGTCAGTGAATACCTGCTACACCGAGTACAAATCCCCGTGGTCATCTGTCGGGAGAGTTCGTCAGAAGTCTGAGGAAATACGTCAGCTTTCCAGAGGCGTGTTTAGTTATCGAACCAAAACGATACTTTTTAATAGGTCTTATATTTAGTGACCATTCTGTTACTGGGTTGGTAAGAAATACATACAGTACCGTCTTCAGTGTTTATGTCGTGGTTGTTCCCAAACACACTGACCTGGTAAAGGGAAGTAATACAGTATTGGCGTTTACAACTGTAATTTTGTTCCCCCATTACTTTCGCCATTTTCATTCACGATATACGATATTTTACTAACCTTGTGACATGACAACATGTTTTGATTTTTAAATTGACGTGTGGATTTAAATATCAATATCAAACCTTGTGTAAACCCGCGAATGCAATAACAGTTTATTGTGTCCTGTAAGGATAACTTCTTATCCCACTTATCTGTCCAATAAAAAATATGGGTACAAAGAAGAACTCTCTGTTGTAGTCCTTTTCTGGAAGATGATGTAAAATTATTACTGTCTGAATTTATTCTATAAGAAATATATTTATATTATTTATTTCAGTTAAAACCATTTTAGCAATTTTAAATTTTAAATTCACATGGTCATTATGTAAGTGTCATATGCCTTGAGACATGTCTGGTCAACTCTCAGAGCACATATACATTGGTCATGTAAGATAAAACAAAAACAAAATATTTATGTCATCTTACAACCAGATTATTACATAAGTCGTTACGTTGTTGTCCCTAAAATTCAGTTACTATCAAATATCACAACAGAGATTGACCATTTTATTTTAGAATATTTGTTGATCTTCCTTTTCTAAACGAGGTACTTTATAGATTCAGAAAGGATACAGAAAAAACATATCATTTTATTTTTTTGGAATATAATTATTTATTATATTTTTTTAAGCAAAATATTTTTTGAGGTAAGTGACGGGCCTGTATGACACCACTAACGAGTGATTGAATGGAAATCGTGTAAAATCAATAGACATTTATCTACAATATCTATTCTTCGATCAATATATGTATTTGTGACGCCTCATGCCCATCGATTGCATTACGACCGATCAATAATTGAAATTCCGACATAATAAGATATATTTCACGTGAACTGACTTCTATTAACTTTTTTTGTGCTACACATCTCTTGATGTTTACAGTAATGGACATCGACTTTAAAAGCTAAAAATCTCCCCGAAGGAAGTTGAAGTGACTAGATTGATACACTAAGTAGTAAATATTGGAGACGTTTAGCAAACATTTCTGAAGGTCATCTTCACCTAGAACATCCATATCTTAAGATACACGAAGCAGATAAAACAGATAATGACGTCGGACCTAAAAGCTTGCGGACATAAAATCATAATCACAGGATGAGTTATCTCTCTTCCAACCAAAAACTGAAACAAGTGGTAACAGTGTGAACGTGATTGCTCCATAACGGTTATTATTCACAAAAACTGCACTCGGAAGATCGTTTCAGCATTTGTCTTCTGTATCATTGCTGATATGGGCCATTTCGTTATGGGGAAAAAATCAAGGCCGAAAACAAGTTTAGTTGTATGATTACCGAAATAGAGGACTCCGACTTTTACCTAGCCGTATACTGTATCTAATAAACATCCCTTTAATAAACACAATAAAACAGTGGAAGTATTTTAGTATCGATCGTTCAATGTTTATACCCTATTTCTGTCTGTATTATTGTGTTTTCTTGTCCTTGTAGTTTTGTTATAATGTTATCGACGAAATTGCTTTTCTAGTGCCAAAATATCTGTATAGTCAAAACATTCAATTCCATATTACCATATATTCTTCGAAATATACTTTGAACGTAAAACATTCTTTAAATTAACAAGACAGTTTAGCCAGTTAAAATCCCCTACCAACACAACGCATCACCTAGGCGAATCTAGACCTGAAGACAGAGCCCGGACAAACTTTTTCTGTGATATAGGTTAAAGGTCAAAATGTAGGTCAGAGTGACATATTTTTGATGCATGAAACACGGTCTCATCAAAGTGAATTCATACCCTAACCAGTGCCGTAGCAATCAGGTATATTTGTATGCTTAAGCATTACATATGAATTCCATGGAGATATCTTTTCTTACTGTCCTGTGTCTTTACTTGGTAAAATATATGGGAAGGGAGATAACTCTGTTTAAGATGACACAACAAGAAAATGCCAACATTTTGACATAAACATAATTCAATAAAACTGGAGCAAACTATGAACAAATGAAAGATCTACACGGAGACTCCTGAATAAAAGAAGAATAAGACCAGGGGTTTCAGAAGGGTAAGCGTCTTCTGCTTCAGTGACGACACTTGCGTCAATCCAAGTAGGTAATGTCATGTTCTGAAATGAGAACAAGGTATGAACAACGGAACATACAGGCAAACTAACCTCGTCCAGCTACATATTGCCAAAAGAAATAGAATATTTCTCGATGCAAAATAACGGTATTTGTGTGAACTATCTAAAATATTAGTTGCAGCGAACAACGAAATAACGAATATTTTGTGTCAATTATTAGTTACGCTAAGAATACGAAAACACAAATTATTTAGCAAAGGTAAAATGACAAAACGAGATTTTTTTCTTTCTAGGTGACAAAACGAGGCTTATCGATATTTCATCCTGTGATTATGCATAACGATACCTATCGGACAGGGCGGAGTGTGGAGGGGTTGGGCGTAATACTTTTACGAAATTACTGTTTTCGGGATAGAAATATGACAATGACACGTATCAGCAACCATTCATTTATTGTATTTGTTTTGTGTATGTTTTGGTACTGAATATTGTACAGATGAACTCTGAATAAAAATTAACGAATCGTCCTAATTCTTACATAGACGAGATTTATAATTTTATATAAATCAATATTTTCAGATGTGTATAATCTTGTCATATAAATTGCCAAATAGTTATCGATTATCTAATAGCAAAGATATGAGCATCTCGTCATTACAGAAATCATACAGTATAACACTTGGTCTTGATATTTAAACTGTTTTCAAGTATCAGCAAATAAATTTTCCTCGTCGTTTGAATTTGATGGAAGACGTATGGATAAGGAGGTGTCGGCAGACAGAAGTCTAAAATGTTCTTTTAGTGTGGTAGAAAAGTGTTAACGTTCGGTTGTTTGGCAAACTAAAGTGGATTGTGGATATCCTAGGTTAAATCTGAAATATAGATTTGTATATCATATATTGATATCAGCTGTACATTTTGAATACCTGATTTCTGGATATTCAAATATTCATTATAGAATATTTTAAATTGATTCACGGAAGTTATAAATCAGCAGATGCACAGTTTAAAAAGTAAAATGTTCGATAAACACGCCTATGAATAAAGTCTGCGATAATCATTGCCGTTGTTATTTACTGTCTGTTCTATACTTATTTTTGTGTAAAGCGTCTCAATTTCTCAGCACGAGGATTCTAAAACAATATGTTCTTATCAAGAACGATACTGTCTGTTGAAGGCTAATGCTCTCATCAATCTTAGAATATTAAACAGAATTAAAAAATATTGAAGATTATGCTCGAAAATCAGAAACAACACAAATATCTCAGGAAATCTGAAAGAATTTTAGTTCATAATTATGTGTTTACAACCTTCGGCAAATTTATCATCTCCGCCATCTTTTTTCTGCACTGATTTGAGCATGCATGTTAGAAGCTAGGTGCGGTTGCCGGTAGCAAAACTCCGGATTTATCTGCTAATGCAGTTACGGTACGTTACTTTTTGACAAACTGACAAAAGCATCAACAAAGGATATTCCGTTACACCAAGTTTTCAAAATAGATGTAAATTTTAGAGTTTAAAGTATGTTTTCTTTCTTCCATTCAGCAAAACATTATTAATTTTTTTTTGTTATTTATAACAATCATTTTTTCTTTAGATATTGAAACACAAGTATACAACAGTAATGAACACACACTTCCCTGGATTCAGTAAAACCTGCAAATAAATTCATGAGTATCCATTATTCGAAAAAAAAACTATAAGATATATTCGTTATGAAATAATCGTGATAAAGGTTATGGGACCTAGCCAGCGTTAATATCTTGAAGTCATAAGGTTGGCCAAGTCAAAAAGATAAAAAAAAGATTAATTCATTGGTTGATTATCTAATATTTGCTAATTGATTTTCATTTCTTAAAAAAATTCGATCGATGAAACTTTCACTGTTGTGTATCAACAAACATGACCACAAGAGTATGTTTACATTACTGACTTAGGTGGATGTCATTATGTCTCACTTAATTTCATTATGTCTTACGATAACTAATTATGTCTTACTTAATTTCATTATGTCCCACTTAATTTCATTATGTCTTACGATAACTAATTATCTTCTTGTATGTTTATCAGTTGTTATATCTGGATAGCTTACTACTTTATATCCACGTGACCAACTCTGCATAAATATGCTGAAATATATTGCTCACTTACTTTCGATACCGCATGAATTACTCTTTGTCACCGTTTTTATGGAATATATCCGTACTTGTCGAAAATGGTGACTTCACTCTATAAAGGCTGATACTATCGACAGTAGGTATTGTTTTCGATATGACGATCTTTAACAGTAATCATGATTTCTATATAGATATAAAAACTTACTTACAGGTGTCAATCAGGTTTCATGCCGTTTGACCGTGTGTGACATCATGTTATGTGGCACGTGAATTGCTAATATAGACTTAAAAATCTCTTTCAAGTAGTAAACAGAAAGGATTGATTTCAAATTCTTTTTCGGATTAGAGTTTCATTAAAGCAGATGTTCAAGAAGGATCCATACATGTCCCTTTTGCTTTTTTATTTATTTATTTAGATAATGGATTCAATGACAGTCAATAGACCGAGATAGTTTGCAGATAGACGGTGATGGCACTAGGTCACGTCTCGGCAGATTCCGTACCTAATGATGAAGTGTTTCGGAATCAGCCAACGTTAGACAAATGACATTGATGGCACACAGTTTTTATTCGCGTGGGCAGAACTGTATAGAGAGGAGGAAAGTAGATAATAGAAAGAGAACTTGTAGAATGTTTATAGATATGAAATGTTCTAGAGTGAACAGCGAATGGGATTTTGCGGAATGTAGTTAGTTAGTTGGTTTAAGGTTAAACGCCCGCTTTCACAGAATAAATCTGTGTTCAACAGACGCGACAAGGAGGTCTTTACTCTTCCTCGGTGAGACGTTTGGTACGTGGCCACATTCACAGTCTCTGAAAATGACTGGAGCACAGCAGGTCGAGGTTTGTCAATGTGGACGTTGGATGTAGTTCCGGGAAATATAGTTTGTATGTTTCTAAATCTAGATATGGAATGTTGTTTCCGGTTGTTGAAACGAAACGACCTTGGCGTTTCCACGTTAACATCTTTGGTGTGTAGGTGTTCAGTACTAAAATCTCGGTGAATTCACAGAGCAGTAAATTTGTCATCAGTTGTGGATAT